TCTCTCTCTCTCTCTCTCTCTCTCTCTCTCTCTCTCTCTCTCTCTCTGCCGGTCCCGCCCACTATTTACTTTCTCTTTCCAATAACACAGTCTGGCAGCACCTGCCTGTCCCCAGCTTTTGTGCCCCTTGAGGTGGGTTACATGGGCACCGGAGAGAATGCCACCAGCCAGGGCCATGCCCCAACCCAACCCCCTAGACACTCTGTACAAAACAAACCAGAATCTGCCCCGACCAGGACTCAGAACTGGACCTTTGGTAGTAGTTCCGGGATACAGACAGAGACGCCCCCTCCACCGCGCCTACTGTACTAGCTGCTGGATCAGCTTCCCTACGCGGGTTGGGCGTGGGACGCTACAGCATCCACCCGGGCCCGCGCGGTACCCAACACACCCTGCCCAACTTCCGCGCAACTCGGCTCACCCAGGCAGGCCCCAGTGACCAGCGCCGTGGCGGTGAGCGCCCCTGCCGAGGCGCCGTAGATGTGCGTGGCGTTGGCCACCAGGAAGGGCGCGTGCTCTCGGAGGCAGGAGGCCACGCCAATGTGGTAGACACCGAGGAAGCCACAGCCAGCGAACGAGATATTCCACTTGGTCTCCCTCGGGAACATCGTGGCTCAGTGACCTGCGGGCTGTGGGTCCCGCAGTCGCGGTAGCTCGGGGTCCCCGCCGGCGGAGGCGGAGACGCTGTGCCGGCAGGCGGAGGAGGAGGTGTTTTAGTGCGGGACGAGGGCGGAGCCCGGTCGGCAGAGGGCAGGACCTGGGCGCGCGACCCAACTGGATCGCGCTGGGAACGGCCGCGCCCCCGAGGCCCCGCCCCTCCATGACACCTGCTGAGCCAAGCCGGCTGAGAGATCCGGAGGTCCTCCTAACTCCTTGGCCTCCTTCCTTCGACCCCACAACGTGGGCAGCCGCTGGGCTTGGTGTGGCCTGAGTAAGTAGAGAGGTGAGAGTTCCATACAGACCTAGGTACTGGGGCTAAGAAGAGCTCTGGTTTGTGAACAGGCGCCTCCCCCTTCTCCAGGGACACCCACCCAGACACAAAAGTACTGAGACCTGAGTGAAAATTCGGGGATAGAACCTCCTTGGACCTGAAAACCTGAGCCATTCAGACTTCAACTCCCAAGACCCATGGGCCCAACAGCAGACTGGCACTGGCCCAGCAAACAAACACTGCCACAGACAAGTCCCGCTCACCCTAAGGGGGTCCCTCGATACCCTGGCTCCTGGGTCTATAGCTATCTGATCCTGGCTCCTAATTTATGAGGTCTACCTGGTCTCAGACTAAGGCCTCACCCTAACTAGTTGTCCCAGGAGGCGGTGAACTCCTGGATATTGTCACTCTCCCGCCCTTTTTCCACATTGTTCCCTCAGCTGTGGGACAGGCTAGGCTAGCTTAGAGCCAGGAATGGCAAGCCAGGAATCTTGCCCTACTACAAGGAGCAGTCCCAGGTTGGGTCGATGGGTGACAGTGTCTTTGTGCCCAGAAATTCTCAGTCCCAGAAGCTCAGCTTTAGGCCTGTCACAACAGCAGAAGTACAAATGAGTTACCAACAACTCAGCCAGAAGATCTCTGAGCCACTGTGACTCTTATTCAGGTGACCCAGGTCCTTGACATGCACCACAAAGAATTCCAAAACCAGTAGGAATGAAGTTAGTTTATTAAGCATACAAATGAGAGGCAGGCACTCAAGAGCCAAGCACCAGCCATAGTAATGTGCCTACCTGCCTGAGCAGTAGCTATGTGTGCAACTTGGAGGAATTTTGAAGCTGTTTAACCTACAAATAAACTAATTTTAGATATAGCTAAAGGATGTGCTGATACACTTTTTTCCTTATCTATGGACTTCAGTCCTTGAAGTCTTGCACCTGCCTCCACCTCTCAAGTGCTGGGATTAGAGCCTTTTAAAGGTACACCAGACAGGCTTGCAGCTGGAGAAGGAAGTGTGTAGGAAGTAAACACTGAAAGGGATCCTTACACATGTCACGAGGAGGATGGGACTGAGGCAGTTGAGTTTATTAGTCACTTTGTTTGTGAGGTTTTCCCAGAAAAGGGAGTACAGTTCTTTGGCAGGTGGTCTGGTCAATAATGTTGAAAACCCCTGGATGTCAGCCATCAAGAGAAGGAAATGTGCACCAGCAGAGTGAGGGCTGGATGAATGGGTGCCAGGGCTGGCTTTAAAAATCCCTCTGGTGGTCTCCAGGGCATGAAGCCAGGAGGCACGGTGGTAGATGGAGGGGAAGAAGTGAAGGTGCAGAGAAGGGGTCCCAGAATCTGGAATGGAGAGCTGTGTGGTGCAAGGGCACAGGAGACATTTCTCTGTTCTCAGCACAACTAAGTACACGCATGGCTATAGGAACAGGCTAACAAGGTGAGGTCAACAGTGCCCCAGCACACTGTGGAGTCAAAATGAGTGAGGTATCCTGGGATTACTGAGTCGTGCTCTGGCAAACAATCAGATAAACAGAGTCCAAGGAGGGGTGAGCAGGGAAGATTTGTTTTGTTTTGTTTTCAAGACAAGGTTTCTCTGTGTAACAGCTCTAGCTCTTGTAGACCAGGCTGCCTTGAACTCACAGAGATCCGCCTGCCTCTGCCTCCTGAGTGCTGGGATTTAAGGCGTGTGCTGCCACCACCTGAATTTTTTAAAAGATATATACATTGGTGTGAAGGTATGAGATCCCCTGGAACTGGAGTTAGAGACAGTTATGAGCTGTCATGTGGGTGCTGGGAACTGAACCCTGGTCTTCTGGGAAAGTAGCCAGTGCTCTTTAACCGCTGAGCCATCTCTCCAACCCCTTATTTGTTTCTGAGTGTTTGCAGCCCTGGCTGTCCTGGCTTTCTTGGAACTCAGATATACCCATTTGTACCTCTCAAGTGCACCTCAACAAACAGCTTATGTTTACTTTTAGAATTATGCATATGTAGAAGGGCATGTGCACCTGAGTTCAGGTGCCCAGAATCTGGAGAAGTCAGATTCTTTTGAACTATAGTTGTGATTGACCAAACGACCCAGTGTGGATCCTGGGAACAGAACTCAGGTTGTTAAAACAGTGCTTTTAGCAGGACGGTGGTGGTGCATACCTTTAATCCCAGCACTCAAGGCAGAGGCAGGAGAATCTGTGAGTTCAAGGCCAGCCAGAGATCAGAGATAAAGAGAAACACCCTCAGGAGAGGGAGGGTGCTTTTAACCACTGTGCCATCTCTCTAGTCCCTTATTTTTAAATATTTATGTGTATAGATACCCAGAGATCAAAGGGCTGCATGTAAACCACTGGATTCGTAGTTACAGATTATTTGTCAGCCACCTGAGTGCTGCCATCTTAACTTCAGCCCTGTTAGAGTATCCCCAGAACATTTTAGTAGTTGAGATTCTGGGGTTTAAACCCAGGGGTCCTAGGTGTTAGGCAAGTATTCTGCCACTATACTACCCCCTGGCCCAGAACTTTTGAGACAGGGTTTCTCTGTGTAACCACCCTGGCCAGCCTCGACTTGAACTCTGGTATTAAAGGCATGAACCTCTACCACCTGGCACAGAACTTTTAAAGATCCTTCACACAAGGCAAATCTGTCCCATACTGCCTGGGCCATAGTCAATTTGAGATCAAATGCTCTCAAGGTGGGAGTATATGGGTATGTCCTAATTAATGAGTTTAGAGGCATGATACAGTATAGGAACAAGTCCTCAGAGCCAGCAAGCCTAGGGCTTACCATGGTAGTCACAAGAAGCCAAGGATTTAAGATCCTCCCTACAACTTATTTTTTCCAATAGCAGGCCCAAGGGACAGTGCCTCCCCAGCTCAGTAGGACCTCTGCCCTTATTTCCACAGTGCATCAGGCTGTTTGGGTACACATGCTTTCAGGCCTCTGGGAGATGCTGGTGCCAAGAACATGGTTGGCCTTTCTCAGAATGCTGAAACCGGGTAACTCCCACTAGTAGCCTTATGAGGACAAGCCCCTTTCTTCAGGGTATAGACTGAAATCAAGTATTGCCAAGAACCTTGAGACCATCCTGTCCCTAGACATAGCTTTACCTGCTCCCTTATAGCTAGCTATGGCTTCTGATCTTTTCTATACCCACCATCTTTCCTGGCTTTATGCTGTCCCTATTTTTGTTTTTCAAGACAGTTTCTCTGTGTAACAGCCCTAGTGGTCCAGGAACTAACTCTGGCAGAACAGACTGGCCTCAAACTGAGAGATCCACCTGCCTCAAGTGCTGGGTTTAAAGGCATGTGCCATCACAGCCTGGCTGCCACAGGAGTGGGACCAGAGCGACTGCCGCCAGCCCCTCTGACACTCCTAGAAGGCAAACCATATACAACACGATTTGGCATAGTGATCCCTTGTTGATCAGCTTATGGAGGGAGTGTCAGCAAAAGGCCTGGAGAGGTGGCTCAGTCCTCAAGAGCACGCTCTCCCAGAGGTCTCAAGTTCAATTACCAGTAACCATATGGCAGCTCACAACCATCAGTAATGAGATCTGGTGCCCTCTTCTGGCCTGCAGGGACACATGCAGACAGAGTATTGTATACATAATAATCTTAAAGGCTTCACATTCTGGAACAGCCTGTGAGACAGACTCGGCCCACCCCAGGATTAAGTTTACAGCCAGCACAAAACCCTCTACCCACATTTGCACATATGCCCAATGTAGAGGAAGAGCCATTAGCTAGAACACCACTATGAAAAGCTTAATGACTGAAGCCACCTACATTATACCACGATCCTTACAAGGAAACTTCATTCTCACCCTCAAGCTTGAGGGTGAGAATCTTTATCTATAAAGATTTAGATATATAGATATCTAAATATATATAAAGATTTCATCTTTATAAAACTCTGGTAGCACGCTTCTTACAGCGGAGCCTGTGAAGCCACTCAGCCATCAACTCAGCCTCACATTTCCCATACACACTTCTGGGTAGAGTCTGGCTTAAGGACACAGTATGGATATCACATGTTGCTAATACACGTTAAGGCCACTCAAGATACATAAAAAGGTTTTATTTGCAGGGGAGCAGAGATTTAATCAAACAAGCCAAATCCCATGTCATCATCCGACTCTTCGGACTCCTCCTTCTTCTCTTCTTTCTTCTCCTCTGCTGTAGAGGAACACCATAGTAAGTAAGCACTGCTCCAAGAAGTCATGCAGGCTGCCCTGCCCTGGGAGCCCCACCCAACACCAAGCCTTATGTACCAATCCTCTTTTTTATCACCACCCACCCATCAGACCTCTACTTACCTGCAGCGGGGGCAGAACCAGCAGCAGGAGCTGCAGAGCCAGGGGCAGCAGAAACAGCCACAGCTCCACCAGCAGGCACACTGGCAAGTTTCCCAACACCTACATAAACAGAAAAAAACCAGGGGTCCAGTCAAGAAAGTTCTTCCACAAGAGTAGAGGAGACCAACCAAGGCGCCAACATGACAGCTCACAACTGTCTCAAACTCTAGTTCCAGGGAATCTGACAACTTCATACCAAGGAACATAAAGTTAAATGAAGTATTAATCCAGGCATGTGTATGGTTTTAACCACAGCAAGATCTTTCTTGAGTTCAAGACCAGCCTCGGCTATATAGAGAAATTTTGGGGCTGGAGAGATGGCTCAGAGGTTACTCTTCCACAGGTCCTGAGTTCAATTCCCAGCAACCACACAGTGGCTCACAACCATCTGTAACAAGGTCTGGTGCCCTCTTCTGACATGTAGGCATACACGCAGACAGAATATTGTATACATAATATTAAAAAAAAAACCCTTTAAATAAATAAACACAAACATACAAGCACAAATAAGCTGGGGGCTGGAGATATGGCCCAGCACTCAAGAGCACTTGCTGCTCTTCTGGAGGACCCAGGTTCAATTCATGCCACTTACATGGTGGTTCATGAAACTCCAGTTTCAGAGGATCTGACATCCTCACCAATGAACGTAAGAATAAATTTCACAGTGATACATTATAAACCAGTAGTCAGGTGGATATGAGCTGGCCTACATAGTGAGTCCCAGGACAGCAGGGCTTAAAAAATTCAAAGACTGGACTCGGCAGTAGTGGCACATGCTCCTAATCCCACCCAACACTAAGGAGGCAGACCTCTTACGAGTTAGGGGCCAGCCTGGTCTACAAAGTAAGTTCCAGGACAGCCACAGCTGTTACAAAGAAACCATCCCCCACCAAAAAAATTAAAAACTGAACATGTTTACCCAGGGAAAAGAATCTTAAGCCCCAAAGTCCAGGGTCTTTTTTGCTACAGGGGTGAGCTCACAAAACTACACCATTTGCTGAGCTGGTTTTGCCTGCCATGTACACAGGACAAATAAATAGCTGTTAACTGCTAAGCTGTAAACTAACCCCGATCTGGTGGTACCAGAAACCTATACACCTAGCAAGAGAGGTTCAAAGAGCATGTACCAATGTTTTGTGTCCCAGCCCCTGCTCACAGAAAAGGCTTTTCAAAGCAGCAGATGAGTGCTCCCACTGCCAGCTCCTCAGTGTGTTCAGAAGTGCCGCTGGCACAAGCCTAAAAAGGCCTCGCTCAACTCTGGCAGGGCTTCTAGGATGCTCTGGTCCACAAGCGAAGCCTGGCAGATCACTAAATGATCAGCAGGGATTAGGATGGACCATAAACATATATACATGTAAATGAACTCACCCTGGGCGATGACATCCTCAATGTTTTTCCCATTCAGCTCACTGATGACCTGTGGTAGATAACCGTACCTAGTGGTCAGTATCAACACATCCCTAGCCACAATTGGTGGTACAACATACAGGCAAATGTTCTGAAGGTTCTAGACATGCACCATTGTCACAGCAGCTGGCCAAGAGCCACAGGACTGAATCCTCTGAACAATAATGCTGGCAGTGGTTAAGTTTTAGATATTAGCATTCAAACGCTCATGACGGCGTTTGAGTTCCATCCCTGCAGCCTAAAGAGGGTAAAATACTTTCCTAGAACATTTTAGGGGCAAAGAGTAGCTCTACTGCTAAAGCCATGTAATACTGTTTCCTTCTGTTTTTTCTTTCCAGATAGGATCTCACTCTGTAGCTTGGGTGACTACCACTTCGCAAGTCGTGCCCCGGCACTTTCATCTGTCAGTCAGCCTTAATCCCAGCTCCACGGAAATCTAGAAGCAACTGCACTCATGTGCATCATCTACAGCACACCGTAAATAATAAGAAGCCTTAAAAAGTTCCTTGGTCTACACAACGAGTTCCTGGCTATAACTACACAGTAAGATCTTGTCTCAAAAATTAGAACTACACAAATGAGTCGTATTAAGCTTCCACAAAAGCATGATGAACCAGGCTTATGACTTGTACTCATTTCTTGGTCTGAACAAGATCCTTAGAAGGGTATTTAAAAAGAAACCACCACTAAGTCCGGCTTAGGCCTCCTACCTCCATCCATTTCCAACAAGTCATTCACATTTTAGTGATCTAATACGGTAAGAATCACCACTGGCCGACATTTGTACCCGCACCAGAGTCCCGGGAAGCAAGCAGCCAGCTACCTTGTTGAGCCGGTCATCGTCCGCCTCGATACCCACGCTGTCTAGTATCTTCTTAATGTCTTTGGCGCTGGGAGAGGAGTTGCCCCCAAGGGCGGCAAGCAAATAAGAGGCGACGTAGCGCATGCTGAACGGGACAGAGAGAGGAAACGGCGGTGGCGTTACCCAAGAGGCCTTCTGCTTACTCCTCCATTTTAGCCAAGAAGTGAGGCCACGTGCGGCCCGCAACTTCCAACCATGGGAGGCTGCGCACCCTAGGATCCCCGCCACCACCCGCCCTTCCGTCTGAACCCCTGCTTGCGGCCCGAGTGGCAAGCATACTCACTCGGCTGCTGCGGACCTGCCTCACGCGTGCGACCTCGGCGGCGTCGGGCGGCGAAAGGAAGACGCTGACGCAGTGGGCGGGGGTAAACCGCTACCCAGAAGCCTCCGGGACGCGCACGGCGCCGTACGGGGGCGCCTCCCAGTGACGAAATGGGCGACCGGAAGGAAGCCATTGCCCTGACTGAAGTCAGGTGTTCACCACAGCGAAGACAACAGGTTGTTCGGGGGCCAGGTGCGCACGTAATGTGGGCGAGAGTCCCCCAAAACTCATGAGGACACGGAGGAAGGACCTTCAGGAGTTTTCAAATCCCCCCTTTAACGCCTCGCGTTCCCAGCATGCCACGCGACGCTACAGCTCCCAACATGCAGTGCTGAGGCCTCACCCGAACCAAAACTTTCAAGGCGAACTGCAAGTCCCATGATGCATCATTGCCAGGGTGGAGCTTGCCACCGGAAGTGCGCCACCATTTACCCTTCACCTGTTGCACGTGGGCCAGATGGGGGCTGGAGGTTCAAATTGTGGTTGTGTGTGGATGGTCCCCCTGGCCTTGGGCAACAGAGGTCCCAAGTCTGACAGGGATTAATGGATCCCATTTTCAGCTGGCCTGGGAATGGTGGGCGATCTGTATGGGGTTTAGTGTCAGCAGCCATATCTGGTGACATCCTTTTTTTTTTTCCAGACAGGGTTTCTCCACGTAATTCTGACTATCCTGAGCATCTCTATGTAAACCAGGCTGGCCTCGAAATCACAGAGATCCGCCTGCCTCTTCTCCCCAAGTGTGCGGGCCATAGTGGCGCACATCTTTAATCTCAGCCCTCTGGAGGCAGAGACAAATGGATCTCTGTGAGCTCCTGGACACCTGAGACTATTACACAAAGAACCCCTGTTGCGAAAAAAAAAAAACAAAAAAAAAAGAGGAGGGGAGGCCGGGCAGTGGTGGCACATGCCTTTAATCCAAGCACTCGGGAGGCAGAGGCAGGTGAATCTCTTGAGTTCGAAGCCAGCCTGGCGGTCTAGAAGACCTAGTTCCAGGAAATGCTCCAAAGCTACAGAAAAACCCAGTATCCAAAAACCACACACACACAAAAAAAAAAGGGCCGGGCGGTGGTGGCGCACTTCTTTAATCCCAGCACTCGGGAGGCAGAGGCAGGCGTATCTCTGTGAGTTCGAGGCCAGCCTGGTCTACAAGAGCTAGTTCCAGGACAGGCACCAAAAACTACAGAGAAACCCTGTCTCAAAAATAAAAAAAAAAATAAAAAAAAAGAAGAAAGAAAAAGAAAAAAAGGGTGCTTCTCCCAGCCTCTCCCAGCGATGGTTTGGCACATGCCTTTAATCCCAGCATTTGTGATGCAGAAGCAGAAGCTCTCTGAATTTGAGACCAGCCTGGTCTACAGAGTGAGTTCCAGGAGAGTGAGGGCTACACAGAGAAACCCTATCTAGAAAAAAAAAAACAAACAGAACTGGAGAAATGGCTCAGAGGTTAAGAGTACTGACTGCTCTTTAAAAGGTACTGAGTTCAATTCCCAGGAACCACACGATGGCTCACAGCCATCCAAAATGAGATCTGATGCCCTCTTCTGTAGTCTGTAGTGCAGACAAGCATATATTAAAAATAAAATAAATCTTTTTTTTTTTTTTTAAAAAGGTGTGTCTCTACATTCGCCTCTGAGAGCTTACCTTTCTTCTGGGCTAGGCCAGAAGAGACTGACCCTAGAGACCAGTGCCTCAATGCTGTTGGAACAGGTACCCATGTCCTTGGGTAATGATGAATCCTGAGTTAACAGCCTCATTTTGCCCCTATCTGCTCGGGACAGACCAACGAGACTGTTTAGTATGTAAAAGGCACATGCAACCAAGCATGACAGTCTGAGTTCCATCCCAGGATTCACATGGTGGAAAAAAGTTAGGTATTTCCACAAGTTGTCCTCCAACCCACAGGCATGAATACATAAATAAATGCAGAAATAAAAAGGGCTTTGCTTACAAGACCAGTAAGTCTTCACAAGTAGTAACTTTGAGTTGAGAAATGAGAAGCCTGTTCTAACTGCCAAGGCTACAGTACAAGTTGGCCGGAAATAGGTTATGCTGGCAGAAGCCAACTGTGGGGGACAACCTCCAGGACAGTGTCACCTTACTTTGTGTGCAGTGCTTCACATTGCTAGAATGAGTCCAGACTAGGTGTTGCTGTTGGAAGAATTATTTATGGATATGAGTGCTCTGTCTTCCTCCATGTCTGCATGACAGAAGACATCAGATTCTGTTAAAGACGGTCCTGAGCCACCATGTGACTCAGGTCCTCTGAAAGAACAACCAGTGCTCTTAAACACTGAGCCATCTCTCTAGCCCCCTGGTTGAGTTTTCTTTTATTTATTTATTTATTTATTTATTTATTTATTTATTTATTTAGTATAGATAATTCTGTCTGTGTGTATGCCTGAAAGCCAGAAGAGGCCACCAGACCTAATTACAGATGGTTGTGAACCACCATGTGGTTGCTGGGAATTGAACTCAGGACCTTTGGAAGAGCAGGCAATGCTCTTAACCACTGAGCCATCTCTCCAGCCCCTGATTTTTCTTTTAATGGGAATGTGTATATGTCTGCTTGTTTGTATGTGCACCACGTCTGTGCAGTGCCTTCAGAAGTCAGAAATTGGCATTAGTTCCCCTGGAACTGGACATACAGGCAGTTGTAAGATGCCTGATATGCAGGCAGATCTCTGTGAGTTTGAGGCCAGCTTGGTCTATAAGAGCTAGTTCCAGGACGAATTCCAAAGCTATAGAGAAACTCTGTCTCAAAAAAAAAAAAAAGTAACAAAAAGATGTCTGAAGAGGATGCTGAGCCCTTTCTCCAGAGTTTAATTTTATCTTATTTTATTTTAGACAGCGACTCAAGTAACTCTGGCTTGCCTGGAACTCACAGAGATCCTCTTGCCTCAACTTTCAAAGTGCTGGGATTAAACACATGCACACCATACCTGGCATGATTTTTTTTTAATGTTGTGATTTTAAAAAAAAAACAAAACTCTAGCCAGGTGGTGGTGGCACACACCTTTAATCCCAGCATTTGGGAGGCAGAGGCAGGCAGTTCTCTGTGAGTTCGAGGCCAGCCTGGTCTACAAGAGCTAGTTCCAGGACATGCTCTAAAGCTACAGAGAAACCCTGTCTTGGAAAAAAAAATTTAATCATAACATGGTGCACACCTTTAATCCCAGCACCCGGGAGGCAGAGGCAAGCGGATCTCTGTGAGTTTGAGGCCAGCCTGGACTATAGGAGCTAGTGCCAGAACAGGCTCTAAAACCTACACTGAGAAACCCTGTCTCGAAAAACAAAAACAAACAAACAAAAAAACAAAGAAAAAAACCTCTAATACATAACAGGGCAGGTGAGATTGCTCGATGGTGGTGAAGAACACTTTTGCACCTTATAGGCATGTACCACCAAACCAAGCTCAGTAGTGTAAAGTTACATAACAGTCCTACAGTTTTTGCTTTTGAGACAGGTCTTGCTGTACAGCCCAAGATGGCAATCCTCCCATCTCGGGTAGGTACTGGGCTTGCAGGTGAGCACAATTATACTAAGCTTCTGGAACTGGTTTTTAATTAATTAATCCATTTATTTAATTATTTGTTTGTTTGTTTGTTTGTTTATATTTTCTTGAGACAGGGTTTCTCAATGTAACAACAGTCCTGGCTACCATGGAACTTGCTTTGTAGACCAGGCTGGTCTTGAACTCACAAGAGATCTTCCTTCCAAGTGCTGGGATTAAAGGTATGTGCCGTCACTGCCTGGCTGGGACTAGTTTGGTTTTTTTTTTCTTTTCTTTTTTTAAAATTAATTTTAATTGAGCTCTTTATTTTTCTCTGCTCCCTTCCCTGCCTCTACTCTCCCTGCTTCAATACTCCCCCAAAGTTCCCATGCCTCAAATTTACTCAGAAGATCTTGTCTTTTTCTACTTTCTACTTCCCATGTAGATTAGATCTATGTAAGTCTCTCTTAGTGTCTTCATTGTTGTCTAAATTCTCTGGGATTGTGGTTTGTAGGCTGGCTTTCTTTGCTTTATGCTTAAAAACCACCTATGAGTGAGTACATGTGATAATTGTCTTTCTGTGTCTGGGTTACCTCACTCAAAATAATGTTTTCTAGCTCCATCCATTTTCCTGCAAAATTCAAGCTGCCATTTTTTCTGCTGTGTAGTACTCCATTGTGTAAATGTACCACATTTTCCTTATCCATTCTTCAGTCGAGGGGCATTTAGGTTGTTTCCAGGTTCTGGCTATGATAAACAAAGCTGCTGTAAACATAGTTGAGCACATGTCCTTGTGGCACGATTGAGCATCCTTTGGATATAGACCCAAAAGTAGTATTACTGGGTCTTGAGGAAGGCTGTTTCCTAATTTTCTGAGAAATTGCCACGCTGACATCCAAAGGGGCTGTATCAGTTTGCATTCCCACCAGCAATGCAGAAGTGTTCCCCTTTCCCCACAACCTCTCCAGCATAAACTGTCATCAGTGTTTTTGATCTTGGCCATTCTTACAGGTGTAAGATGGAATCTCAGAGTTGTTTTGATTTGCATTTCTCTGATGGCTAAGGATGTTGAACCTTTCCCTAAGTGTCTTTCAGCTATTTTAGATTCCTCTGTTGAGAGTTCTCTGTTTAGGTCTGTACTCCATTTTTTTAAATTGAATTATGTATTCTTTTGGTGACCAATCTCTTGAATTCTTTGTATATTTTGGATATACAGATATACCTCTGTCTGATGTGGGGTTAGTGAAGATCTTTTCCCATTCTGTAGGCTGTCGTTTTATTTTGTTGACCATGTCCTTTGCTTCATAGAAGTTTTTCAGTTTCAGGAGTTCCCATTTATTTCATTTTATTTTTTAAAAAGATTTACTTATTTATTATGTGTATACAGTATTCTGTCTGCATATATGCCTGCAGGTCAGAAGAGGGCACCAGATCTCATTACAGATGGTTGTGAGCTACCATGTGGTTGCTGGGAATTGAACTCAGGACCTCTGGAAGAGCATGCAGTGCTCTTAAGGGCTGAGACATCTATCCAGCCCAGTCCCATTTGCTAATTGTTTCTCTTAGTGTCTCTGCTGCTGGGGTTATATTTAGGAAATGGTCTCCTATGCCAATGTGTTCAGGTGTACTTCCCACTTTCTCTTTTATAAGGTTCAATGTGGCTGGCTTTATGTCGAGGTCTTTGCTCCATTTGGACTTGAGTTTTGTTTATGGTGATAGATATGAGTCTATTTTCATTTTTCTACATGTTGAAATCCAGTTATACCAGTACCACTTGTTAAATATGCTTTCTTTTTTCCATTTGATATTTTTTGCTTCTTTGTCAAAAATCAGGTGTTTGTAGATTGATATCTGGGTCTTCTATTCGGTTCCATTGGTCCTCCTGTCTGTTCTTATGCAAATACCAGGCTGTTTTCAGTACTATAGCACTGTTGTAGAGTTTGAAGTCAGGGATTGTGATGTCTCCAGAAGTTCTTTTATTGTACAGTGGGACTGGTTTTTGTAAGGATCCTTCTGGCAGCTTTGTGGAAACAGTGAAAAAGAGACAGGTACTAGGAAGAATGGAAGCAGGGAGCTTGCCCGTTGCATAGAGGCACAGACTGTAGACTGACGGTCCTCTTGTTCATTTCCAGTTCACCGGCTCTGTTGAGAATACAGAGTGTTGGCTTCGCTATTCACCAGTTAAAGGACATGGGCAAGAGTTCATATCTCAACTTCTTTTGTGCTTTTTATGTTTTTGTTTTTTCTTCTGAGATCCACAGGATTCAAAGAGGCATAGCCAGGAAGCTCATTCTCTGGGCAGCTGGTCATGATGTTCAGTGAGGAGGGACATCCAAGCTCCTATAAGCTGGAGTTCACCGCAGAGCCTGTGAAAGAGGCCCTAGACTCAGTGGTTCTCAACCTTCCTAATGCCCTTTAATACAGTTCATGTTTTAAGTGACCCCCTAACCATAAAATTATTTTTATTGCTACTTCATAATTGTACTTTTACGAGTGTTATAAATCAAAATGTAAATATTTTTTGAAGAAACTGGTTTGGCGAAGGGGTTGCAACTCACAAGTCGAGAACTGCTGTCCTACAGGGTTCCCAAAGGAAGCCCTTGGTGCTAACTGCACATTGGGCATTCAGAGTTTGAGCTTCTAACAAGGAGTGCGACAATTCCCTAAAGTTCTACCCGAAATAGCTGCCTCAGAATGCACTTGGTGTCCAGATTATGCAGTGCCACAGCAGGTCTGGGGTTGTGGAAGGCTGAAAGTGTGAGTTTCCATATGCAATGCCTGCCTCCCCAGGGCGGGCAACCAAACAGGAGGTGGGAGTCGGCGTCCCAGGAGCTCCTAGTGGCTAACGGGGAAGGGCGGAGCCCGAACGCCCGCCCGGAAGCGCTCCGGCGGGAAGCCGGCGTGGAGCGCGCCTGTAGTGGCGCGGAGACCGTCGTGGCAGGTACTCAGTGGGTGGTGGGAAGTTCTGCAGAGGCGGAACCAATCAACTCCACGCCAACGGAGCCCCTCTATTAATTTCCCATAAGACGGAGGTGTGAATTGGGTTTTGTGGCGCGAGAGCCTCTCCTAGGGGTCGTGATGTGAGATTCAAGCCCTGGACTTGGCTCCTTTTCGCACTGTTTGCTGACCCTTTTCCTGCACAGCGACGCCTGTAGTGGAAGAGGGCCCTGGGTCCTCCCCAAACTGATGAGTGTGAAGGTTAGGGGTGGGTCCTTATTACAAGAGTCCTGTAGGTGGGGTCTGGGTCACGTGGCCAGATTACCCTTGTCCTTGATCTAGCAGAGTTCCCCTGACTTCGTTCACCAAGTCTCCCTGCCCGGTGGCCCTTGGGGCGGGAGGATCTAGTTCTCATTAACAGCATAGATGTAGGTCCTGGGGCTGCAGTGATCACTCTGTACACCTCAGGCCCTGGATTCCTGGACCAGTGGTTTCAAGAGCTCCCTCTTCCAGACTGAGTTATTGTTACTCTGATCGGGAGGAGGAACTGGTCCCCTAAAGCTCACTCCTCCCCCTGCTTCTGCAGCTTTCCTCAGCCTTGCCTGAGCAGGCTTGCTTGGCAAGCTGGGACATGTCTGGTCCCCGAGGACCTTCCATGGGTGATGGCTGCAGTGTTGGAGGGGCTGGAGCCGGAGGAAACTGCAGCTGCTGCAGAGGATGCTGCAAGATCCGCTGTGGAGGCTGTGGAATCCAGGCTCGGGGCACCTTTTCTCTTGGCTGGGAACCAGTTGAACTTGGATGTACACCCAGGGGGCTGCCATCGGCTGCAGTACCTGTGTTCCCAGCAGCCCCCAGAGCTGCTGCAGGTGGAGTTCTTGCGACTCAGTACCCACGAGGACCCTCGACTGCTAGATGACACCCTAGCCCAGGTTCCGTGGAGTCTGTTGCGCCTTCGCTCCCTGGTCCTCAAAGGTGAGTACCTTATTCTGATCCTGACCCTGTCCTGCTTTGCCTCTGCTTCTTGGTCCACAAAGGCCATCTTGTCCCAACCCTAGCTCCAGATCTCTCTTCTCCCTGTACCTAGGTGTGAACACCTACCCCACCCCTTGTTTTCCCTGTCCTCAGCCCTATCACCTTCCTTCCTCCCCACAGTGAGGCTGGCTGGGCTCTGTCTCCCGAGCTAGGACACTGAAGGTGCCCAGTTGGGTCTCTGCAGATGCCAGTTGTTGTTGGGTGATGCTGTCATCTGATAGGCACTGGTGGTCTTCTCTGTCTGCTTTTCTGTCTTTCTCTATCCCAATGGCTGGCTTCACAGGGAAGCTTCTTCCTACTACTTCCTCTGGCAGTCAGGGCTAAACCAAGACTCCAACTCTGAGGGCCACAGCTGTCTCCCCCACTTGCAGGCGGCCAGAGCCGGGGCGCCCTGGGTGCCTGCCTCCATGGTACCCTGACCACTCTGCCTGCCGGCCTGAGTGGCATGGCCTGCTTGGCCCACCTGGACCTGAGCTTCAACAGACTGGAGACGCTGCCGCCCTGCATCCTGGAACTGCGCAGCTTGGATGCGCTGCTGCTTTCTCACAACCGTCTCTCGGAGCTGCCCGAGGTCCTAGGGGCCCTGCCTACCCTCACCTTCCTCTCTGTGAGGCACAACTGCCTAGAAAGGCTACCCGCAACCCTGGGGTCCCTGTCCGCTCTTCAGCGTCTTGATCTCTCTGAGAATCTTCTAGACACCATACCCTCTGAGATTGGAAACCTGAGCAGCCTCAGTGAGCTCAATCTGGCCTCCAACCGACTGCAGAATCTCCCAGCCTCCCTTGGTGAGTAACCATGGTCCCAGCTTCAGTTCACCAGCTAATACAGTGTGCTCCTCCCCACAGCCAGTGCCCATACCTCCACTGCCCTATGGGCCCCTGCAACACTAAAGTCTTGGGATTGCCTTGGCATGTGAACCCTCACTGTTCCCAGGGGCCCCTTGACTTTGCTTCTGCCTCCTTGGCTGCTCGTAGTTCTCATCATCTTTGTCCCACCACATGATAGAGCCTGAAGCCTTTAGTGTGAGTATCTTGTCAAGGTGCCCAGAGCCAACCCTAAGCCAGCACTTGCCTGCAGTGGGGCTACGGTCCCTGCGGCTCCTTGTTCTGCACAGCAACCTCCTGACCTCAGTGCCCACTGGCCTGGCCCACCTCCCACTGATCACTCGGCTTGACCTAAGGGACAACCAGCTCCGGGACCTGCCTGCTGAGCTCCTAGACGCTCCCTTTGTGCGCGTGCAGGGGAACCCTCTGGGTGAGGCCTCTCCAGCACCCCCAAGTCCCCCAGGTAGGCTTGGCATGGGCATGGTCAGGCTATAAGAGGATGAAGGCATGTCGTCATTGTAACCACATGTCTGTCCTTGTGCAGACATATCCCAGATTCCGGAAATGCCCAGGCTCTTCCTAACCTCAGATTTGGACAGGTATCAGTGGGAAGGTGGCTTGAAGACACCTGTCTACCCTGTCTCCCTGGGCACATGGGGCACCTTGTCTGTCTGCCCTCATACCGCTTTCCTCACTCAGCTTCCTTGTGACTCCCCATGGCTGTTCTGTGACCCTGGCCTGTGGTGTCCGCCTACAGTTCCCAGCAGGAGCCACCACCACACCCATCACCATCCATTATCGACTGTGGCTGCCGGAGCCTCACCTGGTCTCTCTGGGACCTCATGACTTCTTGCTAAGTGGTGTTCTAGAGTTGCAGCCCCATGGGGTGGCTTTCCAGCAGGTGTGTCAAGGATGGGTAGGGGGCAGGTGTAGGCTAGATCTGGCCTTCTCTCACACACCACCATTGCCTGACAGGATGTGAGCTTATGGCTGCTGTTCGTCCCCCCACGAGTCCAACGCTGCCGTGAGGTAGTTGTAAGGACGCGGAGTGACGACAGCTGGACTGACCTAGAGACCCACCTGGAGGAAGAAGCACCCAAGGTGACAGCTGCCTAGGCCCTTGGGAGTGAGGGGACAGAAGCAGCCTGCCCTGACACCACCCACCCTTGCCTATTGTCTCTGCCCTGACCCTTTCCTCCCATGTGTTCCAGAGGCTCTGGGCTCGATGCCAGGTGCCCCACTTCTCCTGGTTTCTTGTCGTTTTACGCCCAGTATCCAACACTTGCCTGTTGCCACCAGAGGGAGCACTTCTGTGCTCCTCAGGTCATCCTGGGGTCAAAGTCACCTTTCCCTCTGGGGCCACAGAAGAGCCTCGCCAAGTCTCCATGCAGGTATAGTCAGGCCAGTGCCAAGGGTGGCAGGGGGGTGCCTCAGCATACAGGAAGACACTCATGGTTCTCTGTCCAGGTAGTGCATATGGCTGGTCTAGAGCTGAGAGCTCTCCTGGAAGAATCAGAGGCATCAGTGAGCCCCTTGCTGTGCCTCTCACAGAACGGGCCCCCCAGCTTCCTACAGCCAGTCACTGTGCAGTTGCCCTTGCCCCCTGGCATTACAGGTGAGGCTTGCTTGCTTCAGGACCAGAGCTGGGTGCTTAGAGGTGGGAGCTGCATTTAGAGAGGGCTTCGGCCTTTTGCTATTTCCTGTCCAGGGTTCAGTCTGGACCGTTCCCACCTACACCTGCTCTACCGAACACCCTCGACCACCACCTGGGATGACATCACCACTCAGGTGGCGCTGGAACTCACCCACCTATACGCACGCTTCCAGGTCACACACTTCTCCTGGTCAGTGTTCCCTAGCTTCCTCAGCACCCCTTCTGCCCTTCATGGGTATGGCCACACCTCAACTCCGGCACTTCCAGGTACTGGCTCTGGTATACCACCAAAACCTGTGTAGGGGGCCTGGCACGGAAGGCCTGGGAACGGCTGCGGCTGCACCGTGTGAACCTCATTGCACTGCAGAGGCGCCGGGACCCTGAGCAGGTCCTGCTGCAATGCCTACCCCGCAACAAGGTGGGGCAGCGGGAAGACGGTGGGGGGGGGTGACCTGAAGGCTAGGGTGGCTACAGAGTTTTGACCTCTAATCCCTGTGGGTGCTCCACAGGTCGATGCCACCCTGTGTCGGCTGATGGATCGATACCGTGGCCCTGAACCCTCTGACACCGTGGAGATGTTCGAGGGTGAGAAGTTCTTTGCAGCCTTTGAACGGGGCATTGATGTAGATGCTGGTAGGTCTCTTCTCCAGGGGGTGCTGGGGGTGATCCTTTGACCCCTCCTACTGAATTTGCCCCTTTCCACAGACCGTCCAGACTGCGTGGATGGCAGAATCTGCTTTGTTTTCTATTCACACCTGAAGAATGTAAAGGAGGTATACATTACCACAGCCTTGGACCGGGAAGCTCAGGCTGTCCGAGGCCAGGTGGGCTGATGTGTCAGGACCCCCAAGGTACCTGGTTCTGAATGCCATCTGTAGACAGAGTTTTCCTATCATGCAGCCACTCCAAAATAATCACTCAGAGGCTTAGTATTAATCACAAATGCCCGGCCAAACCTCAGACTTATGGGCTGGAGAGATGGCTCAGAGGTTAAGCACACTGGCTGCTCTTCCAGAAGTCTTGAGTTTGATTCCCAGGAACCACATGATGGCTCACAACCATCTGTAATGAGATCTGGTGCCCTCTTCTGCCATGGAGGTGTACATGCAGGACAAACATTGTATACATAATAAATCTTTAAAAAAAAGAAAAGAAAAGCTCAGACTTATTTCTAACTAGCTCTCACATTTTAAGCTAACCCATATTCCTTCTTTATGCCCTGCCACATGGTGGTACCTGTATTAGCAAGGCACATTCATCTCCTGCTCCCTCTGCATCTGACTGACAACCCCCAATTCTGCCCTTCTTCTTCCCAGCATTCTCCTAGTTTGGCTCTCCTGCCCAATCTCTCTCTTTCCAGCTATTGGTCAGTCAGCTTCTTTATTAAACCAATCACAGCAACATATATTCATACAGCGTAAAGGGATATTCCTCAGCACCCACCTGATCCTTCCCCAGGTGTCCTTTTATCGGGGTTCACTTCCCGAGGAGGTACCTCAAGAAGCTGAGGCTGCCCGGCAGAGGAAGGGCACAGATGCACTGTGGATGGCCACCTTGCCCATCAAACTGCCGGTGAGACTGGAAAGGCATGAGCTGACAGGAGGAAACAGAGTCCCCGGTGAGCAAAGACAAAAGGATGGGTTCAAGCTTACTGTATCCTTGCCTCCTGACAGAGACTCCGGGGGCCCCAGGGAAGTGGGCAGGGGACAGTCTTCTCCCTGATGCCTCTGAACCTGGGTGATGCAGAAACTGGTTTCCTGACTCAGAGCAACTTGTTGAGTGTGGCCTCGCGCCTAGGTCCTGACTGGCCAACCGTGGCCCTGCACCTAGGTATGCCCTACCGTGAACTACAGCGTATCCGGCATGAATTCAGGTGAGCTTCTGACTCCCAGCCTCAGCTTCACAACCAGCCCCCCCACACACACACACACAATAGCTGAAAGCTTTCAAAGATGGAGGCGGAGCAAACACCAGCCTGGATACAGAGGGTCTGGTCATCAGCCCAAGGAGCAAGAAACTCCTTTTTGAAACATTGAGCCTTTGTATGTGGTGTGTGGTCCTGGGCAGAATACCTTCATCACTGCTCTTTTCCTCTCCCAGGGATGACCTGGATGGGCAGATCCGCCACATGCTCTTCTCCTGGGCTGAGCGCCAGGCTGGACAGCCTGGGGCTGTGGGACACTTGGTACAGGCCCTGGAGCAGAGTGACCGGCAGGATGTGGCTGAAGAAGTGCGTGCCATCTTGGAGCTTGGCCGTCACAAGTATCAGGACAGCATCAGGCGCACAGGACTGGCCCCTGAGGACTCCCCTCTGCCTGGCGCCTCAGCTTCACAGACCCCAGAGTCTGCCCAGGCCTAGGCTCAGATTTAAGCTGGCCCTTGACTTGCCTTGACCAATTGGGCAGAGCCCCTCCCCTATCCTTCTACCTCACCTGTGTGGCACAGTGCCCCAGCACACAGAAACTCCTCATGGCTTTAAAAGCTTGGTTTATTTACATGTTGAGATAGGTCTTTCTGTCTAGCCAAGCTAGCCTCCAACTCCCCATGTACCTCGGAGATTGATTTACTTATAGGATAGGCAGGAGTGATCGGAAGCGTTGTCCTCCTGTTAAGATGAGGGCAGAAAGGGCCTGGAGAGATGACTCAGCAATTAACAGCACTGGCTGCTCTTCCAGGGGAACACCTACATGGTGGCTCACAACAGTCTGTAATTCAAGTTCCAGAGGATCTGGCACCCTCCTCTGGCCTCCACAGCACCAGACACGCATGTGGTGCACAGACATGCATGCGGGCAAAACATCCATATACATAAAATAAAACCTATTTATTGTGTGTGTATCAGAGAAAAGCTTTGCAGAGGTTGTTCTCCCGTTTCTCCCCTTCCATGTGCTCACTGGAAATGAATTCAGGCATCACCAGGTTTAGTTGCAAACACCATTACCCAGTGAGCCATTTCTAAGGCCCTCCTGTGTATCTTCCTCAGGGATAGGGCGGAGCGGTTCTACATAGTAACCCTGCTGCAGCAGGTGTGGATACAAAGTCATCTGTAACAGACTGGTGCACAAGCCCCGCCCACCAGTATCTTGTGGGCGGTGTCTAAGGAGCATCTATCTTGGTGCTCTGGGACCAAACCTCCCCCGGGCCACCCCATCCACACGTTGCCTGTCCCCGGTACTTCGTCTCTATCCCGGTTTAAGGTGGGAAGACCAAAGAGAGGGCCTCGGGATACGCCAGAAAGCCCCCCTAAAGGTGGCCTGAGGCTGTGGCTGGTGGCAGTGGCCACGCCGGCCGGGAGGGGGAGCCGACAACAGCGAGTTTAGGGCGGAGCGGGCGCGCCTCCGAGAGACGCGCCTCCCAGCTTAGGTGCAGGCCCCGCGCGCGGCACAGCGGGGAGGCGATTCCGGCGGCGACCGTGTGGTGAGTGCTAGCCGGCCAGTTTCTGTGGCGCCCACCCAGATCTGGCTGGGTTGCGGGGAGGAAAAGGGTGGCATCGGTGGCTGGGAGAGGTGACATCTGTTCAGACACCGCGTCTCCGGCAGTGCCTGGACCAACGGTAACCTCGACCGGCTGTCTCGGGTGTGGAAGGCCGTGCTCGGTCTCGGCGCTGCCGGGCGCGCTCCCCGCGCACACGTGTCCCAGCAGTGTGGAAGCCCCAGAGCTGGACCTGGGTTGTCTTTTGGTTTATTAGTCTTTCTTTTCTGGGGGTGGGGGCGCCGCACACGTGGGAACCCGCGGGATGTGCGTGAGCACATTCATAGTTAAGAGTCCGCGTCGTCTAGATGGAAATAACGAGGCCAACTCAGCCCCGACCGTGGGGTAAAGAGTATGATCTGCCCTAGAGCAGAGGATGTACTCCATCCCTGGTTTTTCTTTGTGGGATAGCTGGGGTATCTCGCAGTGGGAGACCTCTTTATGACCCTTCTAGCTAGCAAGGCGAAGCTAACCTCCCTAAGAAGAAGGGCTGAGGGAGACTGGATTGGGAGGAGGGGCACGCTGGTGGCGGAGCTCAGCCCCAGCCCAGTCAATTTTCTTTTTCTTTCTTTCCACACCCCCCACCCCCCGTCGGGATCTCTTTGTGGCATTGACCCTCCTGGAACTCTGTTGACCAGGCTGACTTTGAACTCACAGAGATCTGCCTACCTCTGCCTCCCGAGTGCTGCGTTTAAAAGTGAGTGCCACCACTGCCTGGCTGCTTTTGTTTTAGGCAGGAAATGGGGAGCTTCATTCATGGAAATGCAGAAGAAGCTGTTAGCTTCTTTCTGTATGCTGAACTGATCTTTCTCAATAGGCCTGACTGGGGAAGGCTGGGACAGCTAGGCAGAAAGCTCTGGATTCTCAGCGGCTAGACTGGGCAATCAGGTTTCTATGGTAACATAGAGGGTGCTGAGGGAGCCCTGACAGCTGTCTCAAACTAATAAGAGTCAACAACAAAAAGCCCTTTAATCCCAGCACCCAAGGTAGAGGCAGGAAGACCTCAGTTCGAGGACAGCCTGGTCTATAGAGGGAGTTTCAGGACAGTCAGGGCTACACAAAAAAATCTTGTCTCAAAAAACAAAAAACCCTGGGGCTGGGGGAGGGAGACAACAGCCCAGAGGGTTCCCCTTGTTTGTTGTTCCAGGAACCCCTCACTCTCGGCTCAGCAACTGTTCTCCCTGGTGTTAACCTGTTTTGTTTAGTTCTGGTTCTGGTGCAGGGCTGACTCAGCCCATGGGATCTCAGTGTCTGCCTGGCTCTTCCCTACTGGCATCCGATAGTCTGATTTCCAGGACACACACAACACCCAGGTGCCCAGATCCCAGATGTGAGGGGAGATAGCAGCTGAGGGACAGCAGGCTCACTATTCCCCAGGGCAGAGGCATAGGGAAGGATGGGCTTCCTCTGGAGAAGGGATAGCAGGGAGTGCTGCTGTGGTAATCAGACTGCTGTTCAGAGTTCAGTCCTTCGGCACATACCAGGCTTAGGAGGGACAGGTACTCCTCCACTGAGGCCCCTGGTGTGCAGAGCTGGGACAGAGGGCAGAGGGCGCCTGGGGCAGAGGGCAGAGGGCGCCTGGAGTGCCGCCCCCGTGTCCTCTGGACTTGCCAGGTGAGCAGGGCCTGTGCTTGTCAGTGGCCTTGGAAAGTTAAGCATCCTTTCCTTGACCTTCCCAGAGAATAGGTATACCTTCTTGTGCCCCAACCTGATGGGTACACCCAGGTCTCGCAGCACAGTGGGTGTTGACCCGTTTCTCAAGGGCACATGTTGACAGATCCATACAGGGGTTCCAGGGCTATAGACAGAGCTGTGCTCATTCCATAGGCTGCTGACAGAAACCTACTGAGTGGCCTGAAAGCGTGGTGGCCTGGGACTGGGGTCCTTGTGGGTAGGCAACCTGGCTCTCATGATTAGTCTGTCCCTTATTTAGCTCCCTCTCAGGCTGGTGCCAGTCCCAGACCCCCAGAAGTTGTCTTTTCCCAAAGCTGCGGAGATTATCACCTAGCCCAAAGTGAAAGAGAAAGTCCTCCCCCCAGGTCCGCCCCGCCCCGCCCCGCGGCCAATCCCCGTAGCCCTTCGTCTCCTCCCTCCCCTGCCGGCCTCTTTATCTCTTCAGCGAGCGCGCTAGCTCTGGAGCCGCGGAGCAGCAATTGTGCGCACTCTAGGGGTGCGCTCAGGGTGAGCAGAACCCGGCGGCTTGTATGGGGAGAGGCGGGCAACAGGTCCAGGGGCTCTGTAGTGTGAGACAGCCATGTGAGCCCTTGTGGCAGCACTGAGGGTATAGGCCTGTGTGTGACAGGTGACCTCTGATGGCTCAGGGAGATACACAGGGGAGGACCCAGGACTCCTGGAACCCACCCCAGCTCAGCTTTGATGATTGTGTCCCTCAGGGGGTAAAGAGGCTGGCTCCCGGATCCCCATCCTTGCAGCTGATGAGAGGCCTTTCTCCCACCCTAAGGGAATGGGGTGTACCAGTCACAGATAGATGCCTTGGGAGACAGACATCCCTCTGCTTCCCTCCTCGTACCATTTATTTGTGTCCTGTCTTCCCCATGTCCTTATCCCTAGATTCCTGCGTCTGTCTGGAGAGAAACACTTTCCTTGGGAAGTGGACAGGAAGGTGGGCAACCAGCTCGGGGTGGGTGGGGATCTTGCTTTTCTGTGGGAAGGGGCTCTGTGGCCCGGGGTGAGCTGCTATGGAACTGAATCTGCTCTGCCCAGGAGCTCCACAAAGGAGGAACCACCACTGCCCCATCCCGCTGACAGTGGCAGATGCTAGCTGCCTCTGCTCAAGGTTGGGAACTGGTTGCTGCAGCTCAAGTCCAGGGTCCCGAGTACCACTGCACTAAAAGGCACCTGGCCCTTTAAAAGCTGGAGCTTGCTTTCTGTGCGTGAGCACGAGCGAGCGAGCGCCTGAGCGTGAGTCCCTGGCTGCCTGGGAGGACGCCACGGGGAGGGCATTGAAGGAAAGCCAGGTGGCCCCAGGGATGGGTGGCCTCCCTTTCTTCCTTCCCCCACCTCCCCCCAGTGTATCCCCAGGGCACCTTAATGACTGCAGCCTGAGGTCTGGGGCGTGAGGGGCTTCGTGCCCTTGTGAGCCGGTCGGTGGGTGGGGAGGCGTCTTTCTCTGATAGGCCACCATCTATCACTCATTCTGTTCCCTCTTTCTTTCAGGTGGCAGAAGTCTTGGAATTGGTCTGAAGGTGAGGACATCCCCTCCCCCACCATCAGCCACCACCGCCAGCCACCCTCATTGTCCTCGGCAGCCCCTCCCCACCAGTGCCTCCACTTAACACACCGCCTGGTCTGAGTCAGCCTCCTGCTTCACTTGGTGTAAATGGCTGATAAGCAGATCAGGTCAGAGGGACCCCCGAACCCCTGGGCTTCGGTCTTGGCTTTCACCCTCTCCCCAGCATGACCTCCCCACCCTCCACCCCCCCATCCTGTGGTTGAGTATGGTAGTCCTGACACTTGACCCTGCATACACAGCCTGCCGGCCAAGCTCATCAATGGTGGCATCGCTGGGCTGATCGGGGTCACCTGCGTGTTCCCCATCGACCTGGCTAAGACAAGGCTGCAGAACCAACAGAATGGCCAGCGCATGTATGCCAGCATGTGAGTGACAAGAGCGTAGGAGGGACGAGGGCACAGCTTCCACCTCTGATCTCTGCTTCCGCACCCCTGGATTTGATGGAGGGGAAACAGAGTAGGGTGCGCCTGAGGGAGAGAGAGCCTAGCCCTGGCAGGCAGAGTATTTGGCTTCTCTGTGGGCCCTGGATGATCATACTGGGCAGAGAAGGCATTGGCTGCCCTTGCCTGACTCAGGGCCAGGGTCCAGCTGGCCACAGCTTATTGCCACCCTCTTGGCTACAGGTCTGACTGCCTCATCAAGACAATCCGCTCCGAGGGCTACTTCGGCATGTACAGGGGTGAGGCTTGGCAGGGGCGACAGGCGGGTCTGACTGGGAGGAGGGTCAGAGATGCATGCCTGGGCTTGGTCTGTAAGTATGGACACACGTTATGTGTTGCTGGTAGCATCTGGGCACAATGGGGACCTCTGCCAACCCTTAGTGCTGGGGGACTTGGATGTCTGAGGGGATTTTTCTTCTGCAGGGTGGTGGGTCTCCACCCTCACATGAACGCTCTCCTATCCCCCTACTGGTAGGGGCAGGACAGGGTGCTTCTTTTTCTCCCTCTCAGTGGCTCAAATCTCCTCCACTACTTGATGTGATGAGCAGGACCGCAAAGAGAGTAGGGCAGGGGGCATTATGCAAAGCAGCTTAGGAAACAATCCCTGCGGGTGGATTTGTCCAGATGCTGAGCCCTCAGCTCTGATCGGCCATTCACAGCCTTCCCTGAGCCTAAACCCACACTCTGCTCCCACCAGTGGGAACACCTGTACCACTGCAGTCTCTGGGGGCCTGCTCCTCACTGCCTTTAAGGAGAGGTCTGTTCTGGCAAATCAGAGACAGATGGAGGTGGAATTCTGGGGAGGGCAAAAAGAGGGGAGGGAGGACACAGCGCCACCCCATCCTGCCTAGTTCCCGCCTGCCTGGCACAAAACAAGCCCATATGTGGGTGAGAGGGCAGGAGGCTGCAGCCAAGGAGTGCCAGGCAGGGCTTTGCCAGTGTGGAGCAAAGTGTTATCCTAAAGCCTCCCTAACCCAAGCTACCCAGCAAGTCTATCCCCACCTGACCTGCCTGTGTCCCCCAAACCTCAGCTGACCCTCATCTGCCCCATAGGAGCAGCAGTGAACCTGACCCTGGTCACCCCCGAGAAGGCCATCAAACTGGCAGCTAATGACTTCTTCAGACATCAGCTCTCTAAGGATGGGTGAGAGGCTCGGCCACCCTGGCTGCTGGGGCCCAGGTCCTAAGGAAGGGTGTGTTGCTAATCCCACCCCTGCCCCAGCAGTCCCCTAAGCTGGTATCAGACCCCCAGAGGCTCTTCCACCTCGGTCCCTTTGCTCAACATCCCTGACCTTGTGAGGGCGGGCACTTCCCTGCTGCCCACGTGAGGAGGTACAAAGCAGCTGCTGAGTCAGTGACTGTTGGCCCCTAGCCACTGTCTGCTGTTAGAATTTGGGGGCACTAAGCAGCCATCCCATCACTAGGGTATAGGGCTACAAAGTTGGCCCCTTCCACTCCCCATTTCTCTTTATGAGCCCTTGCATATGAGATCATCTGTCCTCTGGGCTGGATGTCTATTGCTGAAGGGTCTGAAGCCCAGGGCTGTGCTCCTATGGGACCTCCACAGCTCCCATCCCCCTTTACACCTCTGAAGCAGACAGTCACTGCCCCATGTAGGGAGCTGTTTCTCACCATCTCGCTCACAGCCCTGCCCCTGCCCTACAGACAGAAGCTGACTCTGCCGAAGGAGATGTTGGCAGGGTGCGGAGCTGGCACCTGCCAGGTGATTGTGACCACCCCCATGGAGATGCTGAAGATCCAATTGCAAGATGCAGGCCGCATTGGTAAGGTGCAGGGAGGGGACAGAACCCGGGTGGGGACAACGGATAGACCCTGTCCCCTGCCCCTTCCCCAAGCCAGGAGGAAGAGACCAGAGATCCTTTCTCACCAGCTGCTCAGAGGAAGATTCTGGCTGCTCAGGCTCAGCTTTCGGCCCAGGGAGGTACCCAGCCCTCAGTAGAGGCTCCAGCTGCTCCTCGACCCACTGCCACCCAGCTGACCCGTGACCTGCTGCGGAACCATGGCATCGCTGGTCTCTACAAGGGACTGGGGGCCACACTGCTCAGGTGAAAAGATGGGCATATGGGAGAAAGAGGGTTGCGGGCTGGTCCCTACCCCCAGCCTCACCGCCTCCCTTCTTCCCCACAGGGATGTCCCCTTCTCCATTGTCTACTTCCCCCTGTTTGCCAACCTCAACCAGCTGGGCCGCCCATCTTCTGAGGAGAAGTCACCTTTCTATGTGTCCTTCCTGGCAGGCTGTGTGGCTGGGAGTGCAGCCGCCGTGGCTGTCAACCCCTGTGATGGTCAGTGCTTGGATCTGGGCCCCAGTTGGACGGCGGGGAGGGGGGAGGGACTGGCGGGGGGGAAGCTAGGTTCCCCTAATGACTCATATGTCCCTGGTAGTGGTGAAGACTCGGCTTCAGTCACTTGAGCGAGGCGTCAATGAGGACACTTACTCGGGGTTTCTGGACTGTGCCAGGTGCGCCACGTCCCGTGAGCTGGGGCAGGGCTGGGAAGGACAGGGCAGGGCAGGGCTGGGCTGGGCTGGGCATCCGTTCTGACCTTCCCCTTCTTTACAGGAAGATCTGGAGACATGAGGGCCCCTCAGCCTTCCTGAAAGGTGCATACTGCCGGGCACTGGTCATTGCCCCGCTGTTTGGCATTGCCCAGGTGGTCTACTTCCTGGGCATTGCTGAGTCCCTGCTGGGGCTGCTGCAAGAACCCCAGGCCTGAGCCCGTGGCTGCGTCTCCCCAGCCTATGGGCTGGGGCCAGAACAGGGTGACCAGCACAAGCCTGAGGAGGACTGGTCTCTCCCCAGTCCTCCCTGTCAAACAAGAAGGCAGGGGGAGGGTGCAGGATCCACATGGGTGGTGCACACATAGGCCCCCATGGGGTCCTGAGGGACAAAAAATTGGGATCAAGGTTTTATTTATGTAGAAAATGCAGAAATCTGTACATTCCTTAAGCCAGTCCCGTTGAGCCAGTACTGTCCCATCCCTGTACCCTAACCCAGTCTTACCTGGCCTGAACACCCCCTAAGACAGAGCTGGTCTCTGGGCTGGGGCCCCCAGGCCTGGTCTGGGCAGGCAGACCCTACCCTGTAGTCCACTGGCTCCGGTCTCCGAGTATCTCCTGGTCTACGAAGGGGAACCCACCCACACACACAAAGTTATTTATTGAATTTGCTGTGCCCACGTGGCTCTGCCTGTCCTCCGTCCATCAGTCTGTTTGCCCCTGCTGCTCTTTCTGCCTCAACCAGGACCCCACTCTGCCTCCCCAGCCAGCCTTACAGGAGTAAGTTCTGTCCTCGTGTTAAGCTAGGATTCCTAGGCTGGGTGTGCTGCCACATTCAATCCTGATCCCAGGCACCCCACACATACTCTTCCTGGTGAGCCTTTGGGCCCCCACCCCATGTGGGACCTGGATTGCTTGAGGTCTCTGTGTGCTTGTGATGGGGGAGGTTGCCCTCCACCCCCTAGCAGTCGGCTGGCCAGGCTGCATGGGGATGGGCCCTTAAGGGCACAGTTGCCTTTCCCGATGGAGTCAGGCACCCCGTGCTTGTGTGCTGTGTGTGCCTCAGGTCTTCTGCTGACCCGTCCAGTAATTTAGTTCTCCAGCCTGGAAACTTCTGGTAGAGCCCTACTCCTGGACAGAGGTTGCTTGTGGGGGAAGGGGAACGTGAAGGCCAGTATGGAGCCTAGGCCATCCAGCTCTCTGGGCCTCTGTCCATATTTGAGAAACCACACCCTTCCAGCCCTGGATCCTCTGTTCTGAATCAAAGCAGTCCTCATCCCCTGCCCTGGCCATGTGATTGTGTTTGGTGATTGACTGAAGTGCTGGTGCTGTGTCCCTCAAGCCCAACCCCCTCCGTGGAGGCCCCTTCCCAGTGACACTACCAGGGGCCCCAGTCCGGGCCATCCCTCCTTCACGGTTGCTCCTGGGAGCCTCCCCTCCTATCATGTCTGTACCTTGAAAGCTGCTGCTGCTGCTTACAGAATTATATTTTTTTCTTTTGAAGAGTTTAAGAAGTTGTAATTTTTGTGTCTTGTCATGTAAAAGATAAATAAATATTCTAAATAAATGCTTGCTTTCAGAGTCTTGTGCATGGGTGGGACAGTGAGTGCATGGGTGGCTACGTTAGCCTAGCTGGGCTCTCGCTCTCTCTCTCTCTGCAGACCCGCATTGCCCACGCCTCCACCCTTGTAGATCCATCACCCTTGCAGTTCCAACCGCCTCCTTCCTACCGCACAGTCTAGATAGGGTGCAGGTAGGCAACCTTGCCTAGTCTTCCGGTTCAATCTCCTTAGATGTGAGAAATGGAACTAGGCATAGGGACACCCTACCACCCCGCCCCCGGGTTCCCAGGGTGGAGCAGGCAGGCGTGGCCCCGCTGACGCACCCGCTGCTGTCACTGCTATCCGCCCCTCCCCTTGCCACTGGTCCTTGGGTCCTGCGCTCAGAGCGGTGCATTGTGGGAAACTCCTGAGCACTCCTCGGTATCTGCAGCCGCCGCCCGCTGTCGTCCCACCCGCGAAGCGAGTGCGCAGCGAGTGCGCAGCGAGAAGCTGGAGGCCCGAAGGAAGACGTAAGGCGACAGGCCCTTCCAAGGGCGGGCCAGGACGGGGAAGTAGGGTGGGACTGGGGGCGCTGGGTCTGGTGGCCAAGCAGTAGAGCTTTGGCCCTGAAGGTCACTGGGGTTGTGGCGTGAGCACCTTGGTCTCCCGGGCTCAGCAGCCCTGGGGAGGCAGAGGAAGCAATTGGAAGAAAGGGATGTTTAAGTGCAAGTCAAAAAATAACCAGGGGCAGATCTGCTCTGTGCCAACTTGATGCCCAATGGCTAAGGTCTCTCCAGAACTGTGGGATGAAGGGGACGCCAGGGTTTCTTGGGAGGTGGGCAGCATCTGGGTTTCTACACTGGTCACCTCCGCATGATGTGACCTTCAAATGACCTTCAGTGTGTTCATTTTGCCTGGTGGGGAGGGGGGCTTGGAGCTTGAGATCTGGCTTCTTATAGTGAGTCCCCCTCCCTGTGCATGGGCCAATTGTCCTCCCAGGATGGAGGCAGACAGGTGGTCCTGGGTCTTTCAGACAGGAGCCCCTGTGGGACAGGGTAGCCAGGCCCCAGTCTCCCCAGCTAGGACACAGAGAATCAAGGTGAGGCCTTTCTATAACCTGGGGACCATACTCTGTGTCACCCCCACTCTATGTTACTGCCAGGGACCCTCTGCGCTTCCAGAGCACAGCAAGGAATGCTTGCCCTTGAGCTGGATGAGGCGGAGGCCTGTACTGAGGAAAGGGCACTAGATCTAAGCTGGGTGGGGCAGATGGCTGACCAGAAGCATAGGCTAGCAGATTCCCAAATGGTTTTTCTGCTTCTATTTGATCCCTTTCTTGTTCTGATAGTCCTGGTGACCTGGATCCACTCTCCGCCTTGACAGAATCTGAGAACCCAGATTCTGGGCTCCTTCCCTGGCCTTCCCTTCCTCTCAGACTCTGGTCAGGCTGAGACCAAGGCCCCGGAGCATCCCGTTCTGTGAAACATCAACAAGCTCCCAAGATAGCACGCAGCGCTCAGCTCTGCCGGGGCTCACCATGACGCCTTCCTGCCTCCCTTGAGCAAATACTGTCTCTTCCAGTTTCCAGGCTTAGATCCATGTCTGCCACAGGGTGAGGTAGACAGTGTATGCGAAGCAAAACTAGGTTATAGGTGAGGAGACTGAGGCCTCTGGTCCTTCCCCCTTCCCAACTTTTCAACAGTTGTAGGGGCTTCTCCAAGAATGCTCAGAAGCAAACAGAGGTGAGGCCTAGGAAGAGGAAGGACTGGGTTTCCAGGATACTCCTTGGTTGGAACCCCTGGAGAGTCCAGGGGATTGAGAAGGGTATCTCCAAGGGGCAGAGGCAGGGCCAGGAGAGCTATACAGAAGGTGCCTCATCCCTGTTACCACCTCATTGTGTCTCCCTCCAGACCCATATAATGCCCAGAGGTGAGCTGTCCTGAGACATTGTGATCCAGCCGCCTGCCAGTCCCGCAAGCCCCAAGCCAGCTGCCACCACAAATCATCATGGAATCCCGAGGAAAGTCAGCCAGCAGCCCCAAGCCAGACACCAAGATGCCTCAGGCCACAGCTGAGGCCAAGGCTACTCCAGCTGCTGATGGGAAAGCACCCTCGACCAAGCCTGTGAAGAAGGACACCCAAACAGAGAAGCAGGAGCAACCAGCAGCCCCTGGGCCAGCAACTACCAAGAAGACACCGGCCAAAGCAGACCCTGTTCTTCTCAACAATCACAGCAACCTGAAGCCAACTCCCACAGTGCCTGCAGCCCCCAGCAGTCCTGACGCAACCTCAGAGCCGAAGGGTCCTGGGGATGGGGCAGAGGAGGATGAGTCCAACACTGGAGCCCGAGGTCCCTGGCCTTGTGAGAACTTGACCCCTTTGTTAGTGGCTGGGAGTGTGGCCGTGGCCACGATGGCCCTCATTCTTGGTGTAGTCTTCCTAGCCCGGAAAAAATGATGCCTGGTGTCCAGGTGGAGGCACAGAGCCACTTTCTGTACAGACCTGAATATATAGTGCATGCAAGGTCCTAGATACTTATCTATACACACACACACACACACACACACACACACACGTATATGTATGCTACATACATCCATGCAGCAGGAGAGAGACAGACAGTGAACCCACCTCCACTGACCCCAGCACACTCTCTCCCAAGTCCTGGGGCAAGAGCCCAGCTCTGCAGTTTGCAGGAAGCACTAGCATGGGGCAGAAGGGATAGCCTGGACTAGGAACAGTCGCTGGGTGGGGCCCTGAAGGATAAGTGGTGGAGTAGACTGGCCCTGCGGGGACATTAAGGGCACGGCTGTTTCACTCTCCCCACTTCTATGGTGTGCGTCTGGGGGCAATCTGTCTGGGCCCGATGCAGGGGAGCCGACCTGCGGTGGGAATTCAAATCTGCAGAGCTACCTCCACCCACGGTCCCTGTCCTGGCTGAGTGAAAACGCCAAGCTTAACAGCTAAATTTGGGGTGGGATCCCGCTTCCCTTTTTCAGTATGTGCCCCAGGAGCGCTCCTGAGGCTAGGACCACCTTACTCCATGCCCAGAGCAGCAATTGGTTGTTTTTTTTTGGGGGGGGGGAGGCTGAAATGCTGGCATCGAGGTAGGAAATATGGAGGATCTACATTACAGTTGTGCCAGCCCAATACCCCCCAAAAGACTGCCCTGCCTGCCTGCACCCAACACCCCCTTGAGTCTAACAGCGTATAAATGCAATAACACAGGTAGAGTAGAACTGCCCAGTGGGTGACAATCACCCACTGCCTGCAGGAAGACCTGCTGTGCAGCCCCTCACAGTGCGTCTGGCCCCAGCTTGCCCCTTGGTGTGGTGACAGTGGGCAGGTTTCCAGAAGGCTACAGTGGCTCTAAGGAAACATTGCCCTCCCCTGGCCAGTGGCTGTAGGGACCTTGGGCCTGAGTGGAGGCTGAGAGTGAAATAAACTGTTACAATATAAAGGCTGGGCTGGTGTCCTCACCTGCATGGGGCTGGGAGGGGCAGAGACTTCCTACCTGAGTATGTGTGGGCCACAGAGTCATCCTATGGGCTTTCCGGGAAGTCCTAGGTCCTCCTCCATGCCCTGATCCTTCTGGGCTATGTGCACCCACAGTCCCATCCCCTTTCCCAGGTCTTTGTGGGAGCCTGAACCCAGATGGACATCCAGGAACTTCACAATGGCAACCCTCCCCCGCAACCTGGGCTGCTGGAACCATTCCTCAGTTAGAAACTGCCCGCCAGGCGGGAGATGGTGGCAAACACCTTTAATCCCAGCACTTAGGAGGCCGAGGCAGGTGGATCTCTGAGTTAGATGCCAGCCTGGTCTACAGAGTGAGTTCTAGGACAGCCAGGGCTACAAAGAGAAACTCTGTCTTGGAAAAAAAAGAAAAAAGGAAAAGAAAAAAACCCTGCCTGCCAGCAAGGAGGGCCCCCTCCATCCATGACATGCAGAGCAGAGGCAGGGTCCTTCCTCTGGTCACTTCTCAACCACAGCTCTCAGTCCATTCTGACCTGGTGTTCAGCACATGGGAACTGTTCATGGCTCCAGCTGTGAGGCCGTAGGGTAGTGGGCTGCAAAGAGCAAGGCTCATTTTGGAATATATCACCCTGGTTTCCCCCCCTCCCCTATGCTAGGGCTACTGAGGCTGGCATGCAGGAACTTGCTGACCACCCCTCCCTCCCGGAGGCTTTCTTTGAGCTGGTGTTTTTTCTTTCCAATTTCTTGGTGCCCATCCTCCTCAGAGTAGGAGCTCTGCCTACATAATACATTCCATTCAACTCTGGACAACTCCGACAGGGTGAGGACATCGCAAACAGACCACTTGTCCTTGCTCAGACCACTCTTCCTAGTTTCTCTTTGACCATTGTCACTACAAAGTGCCTCTTTCAAGCCCAGGTCAACACCTGCCTGAGCCAGGGCTTCCTGAAGACAGGCTGCTGTGGACATGCTGGACACATGGCCACCTCTGACTCTTCTGCACTGCAGGGGCTAAGGCTGCACTGCCTGCCTAGATATTCCCTGCCTCATCCAGTACTCACATCTGTCCATCCTTTGCCTTGCGCCTTAAAACACACGCGCACTTCCAGGCATTGCATTGCACTGGGAGGCTGCAGAGGTGACCGTGCATTTCTGCTGTGGCGAGCAGCTGAGAGCTGGCTCTTCCGCGTGGTGTTCTTCTCATGCTCTCGCTCCTTTATGGTTCCCTATTAAAACACCTTGAGGTTGCTTTTAAAATACTAGTGCCTGGGGCTGGAGAGATGGCTCAGTCGTAAAGAGCATTAACTGCTCTTCCGGGGTATCTGGGGTTGATTCCCAGCAGCTGTGTGACAGCTAACAATCATTTGTAACAGGTTCTGATGGCTTCTTCTGACTGTTACAGGCCATAGGCACACACATGATACATAGCTGTGAATACAGGCGAAACACCCACACATGTAAAAATTAATTAAAATATTGGGGGTTGGTGAGCTGGGTCAGTAGTTAAGAGTACTGACTGCTCTTCCAGAGGACCTGGGTTTGAGTCTAC